TGAGGGATCCAAGGGGTCCCTGAGGGGTCTGGAGGGGTCGTGAGAGGGGGTTTGGGGTGTCCCTGAGGGATCCAAGGGGTCCCTGAGGGGTCTGGAGGGGTCGTGAGAGGGGGTTTGGGGTGTCCCTGAGGGATCCAAGGGGTCCCTGAGGGGTCTGGGGGGTCCCTGAGGGGGTTCCTGAGGGGTCTAGAGGGGACAGGGGCGTCCTGAGGGCTCTGGCGGTGCTCTGAGGGATCATGAGGGGTGTCCTGAGGGGTCTGAGAATGCCCTGAGGGCTCTGAGGGCTCCGTGAGGCCTCTGAGGGAGCTCTGAGGGCTCCCTGAGGGCTCCGCCGCCGCCCCGAGCCCGTCCCGCCGCCGCCGCCTGGCTCACCCGCGGGCTCCGCTGCGGGCCTGGCTCGGCCGGCGCTGCTGCGGCTCCCGTTGCCGTCGGGACCCTCCCGGAGCCGCCCCGGCGCTGCCGCGACTCCGCCGGGCCCGGCCGCGACTCTCCGGTGCCGCGGCCGCCCCGCGCGCCGCTCTCGCGAGACTTCCCGCCCGTCCTCCCGCGAGACTTCGCGCGGGCCCGACGGCGGCGCGAGAGGTCCAAAGAGCGCCGCGGGTTTAGGCGTGACGTCACCCGCGCGGCCCGTGACGTCACGATGAATCCCCCCCCCCCTTTCCTCCCCGTGACATCACGCACGGAACAGCCGAAGAGCCGCTGTCACAAAACGCGGGTTTATTTACCAAAATTCCAATGTTTCACCCCAAACTTCCAGTGTTTCACCCCAAAACGCAGCAGCCCCGCTCCCCTCCCGCACTATCCCCTTCGCACGGGGTGGGGCAGGTGGGGTTCCCCCAAATCCCCCAGAGCCCCCCAAGACCTGCCCAACCCCGACCCCCAGCGCTGCTCGGGGGATCTCGGCTCCCCAAATTCCATCAGGAACCCCCAAAACTCCATCAGGAACCCCCAAACTTCATCAGGAGCCCCCAAACTTAATCAGGAATCCCCTAAATTCCATCAGGACCCCCCCTAAATTCCATCAGGAGTCCCCAAAACTCCATCAGGACTCTCCAAATGCCATCAGAGCCCCCCCCAAACTCCCCCAGATTCCATCAGGACCCCCCTAAGCACCATCAGACTCCCCCCAAACCCTGCCAGACCCCCCCAAACCCCATCAGATCTCCCCTAAACCCCATCAGACCCCCCGATGCCGTCAGGGCCCCCCCGGCGGGGGCAGCCTGCCCGTGATCTTGTTGGTGCCCTCCAGCAGGGCGTTGTGGATGTCCTTGGCGCCGGCGATCTGCGCCTTGATCAGGGGCAGGTACTGGGTGTAGGGCAGGCTCTCGCCGCCGCCCGCGCCGCCCTCGCCCTTGGGCGCCGCCGGCACCAGCGCCGGGGCGTGCTTGGCGCTGTCGAAGCTCTGCGAGAGGCACTCGTGGGCCAGGCGCTGTGGGGGAGATGTTCTGGGGATTTTGGGGGGATTTGGGGGAGTTTGGGGGGATTTGGGGAGTTTGGGGGGATTTGGGGAGTTTGGGGTGGGTTTGGGGCTGGTTTTGGGATGGATTTGGGATTGTTTTGGGGACAGTTTTGGGGAGAGTTTTGAGGTGATTTTGGGGTGATTTTGTGATGGATTTGGAGGTGATTTTGGGACAGTTTTGGGAAGATTTTGGGATAGTTTTGGGGTGATTTTTCGGGTGATTTTGGGACAGTTTTGGGGTGATTTTGTGAGTGATTTTGGGATGGATTTGGGGCTGATTTTGGGGATGATTTTGGGGTCCCGGAGCCGCCCCTGTCCCCGTGTCCCCGCGTGTCCCCGGTCCTGGAGCCGGTTCTGGAGCCGGTCCCGCCGTGTTCTCGGTGCCGGTCCCGGTCCCTCCCCTCTCCCCGCTGTCCCCGGTGCCGGTCCCGGTCCCTCCCCGGTGCCGGTCCCTCCCCGGTGCCGGTCCCTCCCCTCTCCCCGGTCCCTCCCCTCTCCCCGGTCCCTCCCCTCTCCCCGGTCCCTCCCCTCTCCCCGGTCCCTCCCGTGTCCCCGGTCCCTCCCCGGTGCCGGTCCCTCCCCTCTCCCCGCTGTCCCCGGTGCCGGTGCCTCCGCTCGCCCCGCCGCCGCCGGTACCGGGCAGTCGTAGAGCGCCGTGAGCTGCCGCAGGATCCACTCCTCGAGGTGGAGCCGCTTGCGGAGCTCGCGGCGGTCGTAGCGCACCGTGACCCGCCCGCGGCCCCGCCCCGCGCCCTCCGCCGCCGCCGCCGCCGCGGGCGCGAAGCAGACGCGGGGCCCGGCCGGGCCGGGGGCGGCCGGGGGGGGCCCGGGGCCGCCGCGCGGCGCCGCCATCCCGGGAGCGCCGAGCGGAAGCGGCCACGCCCCCGCCGGGGCGGCCACGCCCCCGCCCGGTGCGCGCGCCGCCACCGGAGCCGCCGCGGGGGCGCCTTTGTGTCCGCGGGCCCCGCCCACCGGAACGGCCCCGCCCACCGGGACGGGCCCGCCCACCGGGACACGGGACACGCCCACCGGGACACGG